GTAAACACACTCATCTGCAGTAGTCTTCTTGTAACCTTGACTCTTCATGCATGAGTAAAACGTCTTATTCCACTGCCTTGGTGCTTGCTTCAGGCCATACAAGCTTTTAGATAGCTTGCACACGAGGTTCTCACTTGAAATCTCAAAACCTTCTGGCTGCTGCATATAGATTTCTTCATTCAAATCTCCGTGAAGAAAAGCTGTCTTCACATCCATCTGTTCAAGCTCCAAATTCATACTTGCTACCAAGCCAAGTATGACTCGAATTGAGGTCATCTTGACAACTGGTGCAAAGATCTCATCAAAATCAATCCCTTTCTTCTGCTGAAAGCCTTTGACAACTAATCGAGCTTTGTGTTTCACCACTTGTCCATTTGCATCCTTCTTCAGCTTGAACACCCATTTGTTTTTCAAAGCCCTTTTCCCTTCTGGAAGTTTAACTATCTCATAGGTTTGATTTTTCTGCAGAGAATCCAACTCTTCCTGCATCGCAGCCATCCATTTTTCTTTATCCTTATGAGATATGGCTTCTTGAAAACTCTCTGGTTCTCCATCTTCTGTCAATAGAAGGTATTCAGATGATGAGTACCTTTTTGATGGTATATGACCACGTTCAGATCTACGAGTGGGTAGAATCATCTGAGAAGAACTTCCAACATTGGTGTCTGGCAAAATGGGTTGTGGCTCCCCTTGCTCTGGCGAGATGGGTTGTTGCTCCCCTTGCTCTGCACTCTCCTCCGTCTCCTCGTCTTCTTCTGGTACATCATCTTCATTGTTTCTCCGGAACAATTTTGGTGCTTCATTTGAAACTTGAGCACCCACATTTGACTTCTGAAACATCTTGGGCTTTTCGATATCTTCAATTGTCAAATTTTCTTGGAACACGTCCCTACTTCTGATCACCTTTTTCTCCCTTGGATCCCAAAATCTGTATCCAAACTCTTCATCTCCATAACCAATGAAAATGCATGGGATGGACCTCGCATCGAGCTTCTTCCTGAGCTCTTTGGATACATGTGCATATGCTACACAACCAAATACTCTGAGGTGTGAGTATGTCGGATCCTTACCAGTCCATATTCTCTCTAGAACTTCAAAATTTAATTGAACTGAAGGTGATCGGTTGATTAGATAGCATGCGGTCTTGACAGCTTCTCCCCAAAATGGCTTTGGTAATTTAGCCATATTCATCATGCTTCGGACATGCTCCATGATAGTCCGATTCATTCTTTCAGAAACACCATTGTGCTGAGGGGTACGTGGTACTGACTTCTCATGTCGAATGCCATATGTCCTGCAATATGCATCGAACTCCTTGGAAGTATACTCGCCTCCATTATCAGATCGGAGACATTTAAGCTTCATTCCTGTTTCACGTTCCACCATGACGTGAAATTCCTTGAAGTACTCAAACACCTGGTCCTTTGTATTCAGGAAATATACCCACACCTTTCGAGAAGCATCATCAATGAAAGTCAGAAAATATCTACTGCCACCTAGTGATTCAACCTCCATGGGACCGCAAACATCAGAGTGTACCAAGCTTAACAACTCTGATCTCTTTGTATTGAATGAGACTTTATATTGCTTGCCGAACAGGCAATGACTGCAAGAACCCATCGCCGCACTCTTATCAACCTTGATAAGATTCTTCTTCATCAAGGTAGTCAGCCCTTTCTCACTCATATGGCCGAGTCTCTGGTGCCATAGATCTTGAG